TTCGGGATACTCGGTGTCTAGTTTATATAAGGATGCCGTATTGTATTGGGACCCAAAAGGGGCCCTAATTTAGAGAACTACACACATGTGACCCTTATAGTACCCTTATAGAAGCCCTATTAGAAACCCTCACCAGATTACAGATCCCAATAGGGAACCCCAAAAGGCACCCATACAAGAGGCGTCCTCGAGCCTGCCCCCGAGTCCAGCAGCGAGTAGTGTTTCGCTCCTTGTCGAATGGACCTCCAGGCTTTTGGTGTTTAGGGTTTTAAGACTCTAATTACCCACAGTTTTATGGTTTCTACCTACCAAACAAAGGGGTGATGGCTGCTAAAATGTAGGTAAAGGGGGTTTGCAGCTAGGGACTCTCAATCTCGAACGCCTGTGCCCTAAACCCTGAAGCCTTAACCCTAAACCCCTAAGCCCTAAACCCCCTAAACCCATAACCCCTAAACCCATAAAGCCCCTAAAACCCTACACCTAAACCCCTAAACCTTAACCTAACCTCTCCACCCCAGCCTCTAAAACCAAAGTTCTCAAGCCTCCAACTCCAATGCCTCTGAAACCCCCCACGAGCCCTTGAGCCGAAGCTTTGAAAGAGGTGGTGAGGCCTCAGGGGTTTTAGAGCTTAGGGTTTAGGGTAAAGGGGTTTAGGGGTTTAGGGCTTAGGGGTTAGGGTTTGAGGGTTTAGGGCTGTAGGGTTTAGTGTTTAGGGGTTTAGGGGTTTAGGTGTTTTAAGGGTTTAGGGTTTAGGGGTTTCGGGTTTCGGGTTAGGGTTTAGGGTTTAGGGGCTTAGGCCTCGCTTGAATCCTAAATTCGAACCCAAATGCAAGCAGCAACTGCACAGACCACGAAGGCCCCTCAGCCGCCTCAGTGCTATAAAAGGGGTTGAGGGTTTTTTAGGGCTCAGGGTTTAGGGTTTTAGGGTTTAGGGTTTGGGGTTGGGGGTTTTTAGGTCTCTTTGTTAAGGACAAACCGGCTAACGCCCAACACCCCCCAAACCCTAAGCCCCTAAGACCTTAAACCCTCTACACTCTCAGCCCGGCAGTGCTTTCAACTCAATCACATGAAAGTCTGCATAGAGGCTCAAGCAACTGGGTTTAGGGTTCAGGGTTTTAGGGTTTTAGGTTCAAGGTTTTAGGGTTGTAGGGCAGGGTCCGCATGGACAGAGACCCAATTAGGACGCTTGAAGATTTCCAGGAGCTTGCTGACTGGGGCCCGTCAGATTCAAGCAAACCCTAATAACCCTAAACCCTTAAAGCCCTAAACCCCTAAACCCTAAACCCTTGAAGCCCTAAACCCTTAAAGCCCTAAACCCCTAAACCCTAAACCCATGAAGCCCTAAACCCCCTAAACCCTAAACCCCTAAGCCCTAAACTCTCAAACCCTCATCCCTGCCTTCCCTTTACGGAAGACCCCATGCCCGCTGAAAATGATGTTCCCTCGACCTAAACCTTACGCCCCTAAACCCTAAAGCCCCTAAACCCTAAAGCCCCTAAACCCTAAATCGCTCAACCCTGCGACTCCCGTTCCTGAGCCCGAAAACCAGGCAATCCTAAGAAGGTGAACAGACACCTTTAAGCCCGAAGGTGTAGAGCCCGAAATCCTCGTAAGACTTCTTCTAGTAGCCCTTCGTTAGGTTTAGGATTTAGGGTTTGGGGTTCGTTACTAGGATCCGCAGTAGTACCTTTTTGCCCTGTTCTCTTTTTTGGAGCCCCTTTAACAAAAACCCAATAGTAGGGGAGAGGGTACCCTTCTTCTGAAGTGCCGACTGGGGAACCCTAAACCCTAAAACCTAAACCCTAGGTGATGAGACTCCTTCAAGGAGATCTTGTGGGACCCTTGCAACACACGTAGGTTTTGGCAGGTTACCCTTCCAAGTACCTAATAATCATACACTCTCCCAAATACTAACCCAGATAACTACCATCCGCAACCAAAGTACCTTGTTATTGGGTCTATTGATTGGGTCCCCTAAACCCCCTAAACCCCTAAACCCTAAACCCTTAAACCCCTAAACCCTTAACCCTTAAACCCTTAACCCTAAAAACCCTAAACCCTTAAACCCTTAAACCCGAAACCCTCAAACCCTTAAACCCTTAAGCCCTAAACCCTTAAACCCTAAAAGCCCTAAACCCTCAAACACTTAAACCCTAAACCCTCAAACCCTTAAACCCTCAAGCCCTAAACCCTATAAGGACCCTTCGGGCTAAGCCACGGGACATGTCGTTGTCTCGAGGTCTCCTGCACGGGCGCTGCTGGGTCCAAGTCCTCCTCGAACCTCCGGGCTGTTCAGTTTTAGGGTTTAGGGTTTAGGGTTTAGGGTTGAGGGGTTTAGGGTATAGGGTTTTAGGGTTTAGGGTTTAAGGGGTTTAAGGGTTTTAGGGTTTAGGGTATAGGGTTTTAGGGTTTAGGGTTTTGGGGTTTAGGACTTAGGGCTTAAGGGTTTAGGGTTGAGGGGTTTAGGGTTTATAGGGTTTAGGATTTAGGGTTACAAGTTGTGCCCGATTTTTTTGCTCCATAAGAGCTTACAAAAAGGCGAAGATTCATCCTAGTACTGTATGGCTTGCCTGTAGCTTCAGAAGTGATAATGAGGGTGTTCCATGGCTGCTTGTTGTTGTTCTTGTTTGTTTCATGGCTTTGATCGAGTTTTCAAGAGGTTGTGCAGGGTGTTACCGGGTTCCTTGACGGAGTTATTGTACATCGGCCCCCAGTGGTTCACCTTAAGCCTGAGAATCCAAAGGACCCTAAAAATCATGTGCTTTTTTAACTCTAAACCCTAAACCCTAAACCCTAAATCCTGAACCCTAAACCCTAAAGTGGTCAGAAGAGTATATGATTATGAGGCACTTGAGCCGCGAAGCTCCAGGTATCTAAAATAGTCATATACTTATGCCTTAAAGCACCCTGTAGAGGGAACCCCGCTTAAGGCCTAAGTAGATACCTCTATGGGTATATGGAGCCTTTGGGTAAACCCTAAACCCTAAACCCGTGTAAAAAAAAAACCTAAGCCCTAAACCCTAAACCCGTGTAAAAAGCCATTTTGGCTCAAGGCCCGACGTTCACGCCCGTGTGTCGCTGGTCAGGTCTCTCCGTAGGGTCTGTCTCCGAGCTATTCAGGCTTGGCAGCTGGGCCGGGGGCCTGCTGCTGGAGGCGCGAGAGGGGATCCTCCTGACGGGGCTCGAGGGCTCGATCCGGTGCTTCGAGGGGGCTGGGTCGACTAGGGCGGCTACGGCTCGATCGAGGGCTTTGGGTACGTGATGGCTATGCCGGGCATGACGATACCTCTTGCCGGGGGGTTGAATGACGGCGATGAAGACTTGGATGAGCCCGGGGGGGGCGACCGGAGCCTCGGGAGAGCAAGGTGGACAGGCCGGAAGCCCGAAACGTCAGAAGGGCGGGGGCGAGAGCGGGGTGGTGACCATGGATGCTCTCCGCAGCCTCCTGGCGGAGCAGTCGGTAAGCCTGCTTCAGGCCCAGCAGCTCCAGATGACCACAGCCCTGACTGCTTTCGAGGAACGACAGGTTGGGCGACTTGAAAAGCTGGAGCAGAAGGTGGGGGGTCAGTCGGACGCGGTTTCAGACCTGCAGACTCAGGTCCAGGATCTTGCCGAGAGGCTTGCCAAGGTGGAGAACCGACCTCAGAGCGCGGTGGGCTCTGGGCCGGATCGGAGGAGCACCCTCGTGTTCGGAGGGTGGGGGATGGACACCCGACGATCTACCCTACTTCATCAGCTTGACCAGGCGCTCTTGGGGCTCCAGATAAAGGGTGACTTCGACTCGGACCCCTTCACGACGGGAGCTCGCCGATCGGTTGCTCTATGCCAATTTAAGCGTCGACATCAGGAAAGCGACCAGGATATGAAGCAGCGTATGCTCAGGATCATGCAGGTGATCAATGCTTCGCAGGTGAACATCCAGGGGGCGACACGGCCGCTATGGTGCTCCTTTAGCAAGAGCCCGGAAGAACGAGGGAGGGCTGCCCTCGCGGCAGCAGTGCGCAAGGCGGTACTCAAGGTGGCACCACACAGGGCTACCGACTTGGACGTCGAATACCCGTCCGGGAAGAGTTGGATTCGAGATGACCAGTTAAGTGGCATGGGTCAGCCGCCCTCCGAGATTCGCCAGGCAAGGGTTGTTGCTACAAAAGGGGGTGAAGGTTGGATCGACGAGCGAACTTTGGCCAAGTGGCTTGATATGCCTCTTGGTGATCTTCAGTCCCTTCTCGCGGAGCATAAGTTCTGAGGTGAAGAGGGCGAAGTGGTAGCTGAGCTGCAGGTGGTTTCTGCTGAAACGGTCCCTACAAGCGGGCCTCCGCGGTCCCCAGCTCTCAGCTCGGACCCAGGGCGGCAGGTTCTCAGGCTTGAGCCGCTCCTTTCGGGCCCTACATCGCAGGTGGAACCTTTCCGGATGCGAGTCGTTGGCTGGAATGTGGGTGGAACGGATCTCGTTGAACTGCCAAAGGCAGTCCGAGAGGCCTTGGGAGAGCCACTGCGAAAACAGGACATTGTGCTTATCCAAGAGATGCCTCGGGAGAGAGAGGGATGGAACTATATGCCACTGGCAGGGCGCAGAGTGGTGTCACATCGTAGAGAGAGTCAGTGGCGGGGAACGGGGATGTGGTATGATACGTCGGTGTGGTGTCTCCTTCGCAAAGTCCACTCGTCCAAAGGGGTGTGGTTCAAAGTCCGTCACCTTGAAGCTCCAATTGAACTTTGGATCCGCACAGCACACTTTACCCCAGGGTGCTCCGTCTCGCAGTATGAGGAAGAAGTCCAGGATCACTTTGATGGCGTGCCGCCCAGCTCGCACAGGGTCGTGTTTCAAGGGGACGTCAACACAGGGTTTACATGGGCTCGCGAGGGTGACGTGGAGACGGTGGTTCCCAAAGAGGGCAAGGGAGGTATCCTGCACAAACTCCTCACGGAGAAGAACCTGGTGATGGGCATCCCCTCGTCGGAACAGTGGGCCACCCCCACGAGTAGGCCTCGACAGGAAGGTCGGCAGGGACAGTGCATTGATGTGTCGTGTTCTCGGGGGCTTCGCGGAGGTCATTTTCATATTCAGGAGGGTTCCTACATGAAGCTCGGTACTGATCATGAGATGTGCCATTCGGAGTACTCTGTGGATGCCAAGAAGAACAAAGCAAGGCATGAGACAGGGCCCAGGGTTTGGGTGTGAGGGGTTGACCAGGTGAACCACATGGACCAGTCGTATATCGAACACTTGGCGAACCGATGCACCAAGCCAGTACCAGGCCAGGGGTACCGGGACACAACAGAGATCAAGCAGGCCTTTCGTGCAGCCAAGAGGTCAGGGTCGTCGGAGCTTTGGAAGCAGGCTTTGAAACTTCGGAAGGAAGCACGGCGCGCCTGGGAACAGGCTAGATTGGTGAAGGCCAGCCAGGGTGACTGGCACTCATTTCGGGCACTCAAGCCTCGCAGGCAGGAGGGGTGGGATGTTGGTTTCGCCGAGGCCCAGCAGGGGGACCCACATGAGGCGGTCCATGAGCATCTCTCGCAGGTCTACTGTGGCACTGAGGTTGAAGCGGTGGAGACTCCGTGGCAAGGTGATGTCGTTGCCTTCACAACAGAAGAGCTTCGCCGCGGGGTAAGTCAGATGAAGCGGGGCAAGTCAGTAGGGATTGATCGTACCTCTACGGAATTGTTGTTGGGGCTGATGGAAGTGCCTGGAGGAGAACAGCATCTCCTCGAATGGTTTAACCGGATATTAGCTACGCAGTGCATCCCCGACCAATGGAACAAGCCCATCCTCATCATGCTCCCCAAGATTCGAGCTCCTAAGAAGGCGAAGGAGCTCAGACCCATCGCCATGGGGTCGGGGGTCAGCAAACTCTTCAGCCGCATGCTGCTGAACCGAGCGATGCCAGCTCTCCCTCCCACAGGTGGTGCTCAATGCTCAGGACCTGGACGACAAACATGTGACTACCTGTACACAGTCATCAGGTTGTTTGAGCTCGCCAGAGAGTGGGGGGTCCCCCTCACGGTCTTTGAGCTGGACCTTGAAAAGGCCTTCGACAGCCTGGATAGGCCTGCCTTGCTTCGGAAGTTGGAGGCGGCGATCGGAGTAGGATCGGAGCTCAACTGCTGGAAGGGTCTTCTCAGGGGCACAGTGGGACAGTTGCAGACACCTTGGGGGTCCACGGAGGTTCGGATGATGAGAGGAATAAAACAGGGTGCAGTGGAGTCCCCCGCCATGTTTGCCTGGATCGCAGAAATAGCCCTGAACACGGCTGTCCAGAAGTATGGGTGGCATCAGGGGCCACGTCTTCTTGAGGGGCTGGTACCTGAGGAGATGCTGTACATGGATGATGGCATGTTGTGGGGTGAGTCCCCGGCCACGGTCCAGGTGCGGGCATGCCAGCTCGCGGTCGAATTGTCGGCTTTCGGACTCAGGCTCAACCCGCAGAAGTGCCAGCTGTATGCACCGGCGAAGGTGACTGAGGATCGCTCAATCCTGTTGAACGGTACCAGGGTGATCGCGGCGGACACCCTCGAGGTAATGGGGCTGACTCTTCGGGTGGGAGGCTCCATCTGTGAGCTGGCGGCTCCGCTAGCCAGTCGGGCCCGGGCGAAATTCTGGGATCACAAGCACATCTTTCGATCTAGAGGGGGGTCCATGAAGCAACGGGCACGGGTGATGCAGCGTGTAGTAGGCAATACTGCACTTTGGTGCATTTGTTGCTTGCCGCCGGATGCTGCGACGATGACCATGCTTAACTCGGTTCAGTTGCAGTTGATGGTGTGGCTACTTCGCTTTGCTAAACGAGCTGACGAACCGTGGGAAAGCTTATAGGCAGCGAGCATTTCGGGGTGCTCGAGCCGCCCTTCATGCTGCTGGAGTTGAACGATGGAGCACCCTGTGGTTGAGAAGATACTGGGCTTACGCAGGGCACAGGGTTAGAGCCACACTCCGGCAGGCCCCGCCGATCAGCAGCGAATTTGAGACCTTCCGCACTCTGCCCTGGTGGCAGCACCAGCGAAGCCTTAGACACGGCCTCCGGCACAAGGGTCACCACTACCCCCGACTCACTAACCTGGAGCAGAACATGGACGCTATCGCTGGTTCTTCTTGGCGTAGCCTTGCTCATGATCGGGTTGCGTGGCATGCTAAGGAGGATGCCTGGGTTGCTCGCATGGATGTCCCCTGGGCCTCGGGCAGGCAACTTTCCATCAAAAACAACCACTAGTACGTCGTTGAGTACCAGTACCAGTCATGTGAACCAGGGTTTTTTCTATGTTTAACCTAATTCGCTGTTTTCTTTGGTCCCGGTGATCCCTACGTGATGACTGCGGGGTTTATAGAGGGTCGGCCTAATTCGGAGGGTGTACAGCCAGATGCAGGGCTTCTCTGAGCTGCTTTGCTTTGTGAAGGCACCCTTTATGCCTGATGCCAGCGATCAAGCAGCCAGTAGAGCGGCTTTCGCATTCGCTTCGCGCCCTTGTGGCACCATGGCTTTCCATATCTCCATATTGGTCATCGTGTGGATGACGGGAGCTGCTGTTTGGGCAGTGAACCCCTTTGAGGCGCCAGATCGCCGGGACATGCTGGACCTTCCGGGCACCGTGATGGTGAACTCTGGTCGGGACAGCTGCACGGAAATGACGACCTCATGGCCGACTCCGAAGGAGCATTTCGGCACGTCCAAGGATCTACGTGACAGGATGGACGAACCTTTGCATGACAGTGTGAATTCAACAACTACACCATTCATATGCGGTGACCATGCAGGATCTCTCGGATGGCACGATTCGGGACTACTTGAGCAAGCTGTACCTCCGGGAGATCTGCAATTGCACGACCCAGCCCAAGATCCAGGTGGATCCTCGCAATGCACAGCCTGAGCGAAGTGCCGTTAAGGTCCTGCTCGATTACCAGTTTGAGCACTGTTTTGAGATCCGAGGGATGTAAAGTGAGACCACCAGTCTGGTGCAAAGGGATGTCATACTCCGTCGGGGATGGTTTATGGCCGCACTCCAGGGCTTCCGGTGGCTGCAGACCCAGGGTCGACACAAAGCCGCAGTGTTTCGACTGAGAGAGCTCCTTCGGCAGGTAGATGACCCTGCCATCAGCAGGGCTGCGAGGACGCACTTGCCAGACATCCTTGAGGTGGACCATGATGCAGGGGCAGAGGTCAGCTCAGAGTGTGCCACAGATGAGGAGACATGGGCCACCTTTGTCATGTCTGAGTTGCGCAGAGTGGCCACAGGGTTGAGGCCAGAGGGAAGTTCGGGGACATTGGCTATGACCGCAGCTACCACGGCTGCCCCTCGACCACCACTTCCTCGTCTTCCCAGGGAATTTGTGGCCTAACGGTACATGGTCGAGCAGGGATGACCTCATCGCGGCCGGCCGTACTGACCTTCTTCCGGCAGCAGAAGCGGCCGCAGCTGAGGCCGATGACGCCGCACCAGAGGACCCGATTGGGGATGAAGGGACAGGGATAGGGGCTGATGTGGAGGACAGTGGCCAGGCTCCTGATGACCGAGGGCCGACGAGTGCAAGGCCCGCCGCCCGACAAGGCAGAGGACGAGCTGGCATGGAGCACTCTTGGGCGCAATTGATGGAGCAACTATGGACCTGGTTTGATGAAGGGTTGGGCCCAGGGTCCGCTTCGCACGATCGGGGCAGGGATATATGACTGCAACTGGCTGCTGACTGACACGACTCCTCCCAGGTTCTACCTGTGGTCCCGCAGGGTGGAGGCTCACCTTCGCAGGGTCTACATGGGTGCAGAGATGGCCTCGGACAGAGGCGAACGGGGCCGAAGACGCAGGCACAGGCCTCGGCCGCGAACTCCGGCGAGGGGGCGGGGGTCTGGAAGCAGAGGGACTCGTGTGACCGAGGAGGTTCGACATCTAGGAGGGGGCAGAGCCAGTGGCAGTGGGTCTGGTCGCCACTGGGAATGGCAGGCACCGGCACCTAAACGACGACCGGAGCATGACCGGATGCCAGATGGTCCCAACCGCTCTCACAGGGCTGTAGGGAGTGGGGAACCAGCCGGGACCCTGCTCCAGAGCCCGCCTCTGGCAGCGAGAGGGCCAAGTCGAGACGAAGTTCGTGTGGTCGACACGTCATCGGGCACCCCGGACCTGGAGGAGCCGATCACGGTTGACCAGGCGGTGGACATTTGGCGATATCTGTTGTTTGACAGGCACAGCTTCGCATCGGGCCAGGGCAAAATCAGGGAGACTTGGCTCCCACAAGCCACCTTGACAAATGTTTCGGTCCACTGTGAATCGATGTCGGAGCACAACATGCAGATGTTCACGATCGGGCTGCTGACAATGATCAGATATCTGATGGCCGAATTGTCTCAAACTATGAGCATGGCCCAGGCAATCCGAAACACCAGGTTGGGGCTTGTGGATCCGGTGGACCTCGATGAGGAGGACGATGACCATGGGGACGAGGCAGCTCTCATGCAGAGCTTCTTCCAGTCGGAAGGGCGGGACACATCGTCGCGCCGATGGGCCAGAGCACTCCTCCGACTTCACAAGGAATTGGAGGGGCAGCCAAAAGCTATGCGAGTGCAGAGTGTAGCGGCTCTAAGGGCTGCCATGCCGGCCTGCATGCTTGACCTGAGTTCGGTGGCCTACCAGGCACAGCTCCAGGCGCTCTTGGTTGCCGTCCAGGAAGACAGCCAGGAGGCTCAGGGCCACTTGGATGTACCGGAGGATTGGCTAGCGGGATGGGTGACAGAGCTCGGTACGTTTATACCTGGTTACAGGCAAGGCCAGATGGCGCAGCAGGTTGACTCGGGCCCTGCCGAACCCATTGACGAACTTCTGGAGGACGAAGAGGAGGCTAGGGCTTATAGGGAGGCCTGTCGCGCCCAGGCTGAGGAGGAGGAAGAAAAAGACCGGCTAGCCAGGGAAGCACAAGAACATCTATGTCAACAAGAGCTTTGCAACCTGGAACAGGAGGCCATGGAGTACAAGGACTGGGAGCGAGGGATCGAAGCCTCGGCCCTCAAGAGGGCCTGCGATGGTCCGGACCGGAGCGGCAAAAGTCGGTGTGTGCTTACCGTGGAGATGGCCACGGGGAGCGGAGACAGGCCCAGAGTGGTTTGCACGGTGGGCCTGGACATGCCTCTCAATGGAACACCTGTTACATTCACGTTGGCGGGAGGCTGAGCCGTCTTCGGCCCTCGTGCCCCAGACGCAGGTGGATCCAGAGCAAGCTAGTGGGAGTGCTGGACAGGGCTCAGGTGCTGACACACTGGTGCTGGATGTCGAGAATCAGCCTACTCAGCCGGGGTTTACGGGTGGAGGTATGACTGGGATGTTGGCCCTCATGGAGTTCAAGGAGTACGAAGTCCTGTACGACCGGTGGCTGCGAGGCGAGCTCAACCACAGGGAAGTCGCCCTGTATTATGGAGCTGAAGTGCTGGATCTCATGCTTGCTCAGGAAGCTCTGTCAAATGAGGCAAGCCCGGCAGTGGGGTGTGTAGGCTCTACCAGACCAGGGCCTGAGGAGGAAGTCCTCGGCATGCACAGGGACGAAAATGGGGTCTGGGTTCGCTATGGCTTCGCCCACTTCGAGGTTGTTTATGGCCAGTGGAAGTTGAGGGAAAGGACTGATGAGGACATTGCGCGGTCCTACGGGCCGGAGTGGGTGAGATTGTTCAGAGTCTGGAGGACATGGAGCCTTCAGGCCATCTGGCACTTGTTGCCCCGGGTCCTGGATGTTTCCCCGGATACAGCAACGGCTCGTCGAGGGGTGGACTTTCACATGCTCAGGCCGGAGCCCCTCCCGGAGATCATTCGCTTGCCGTTCTTTGTTGTCAAGGATTACTACGAAGAATGGGTCGCTGGAGCTATGTCGGATTCTCGAGTGGTGGAGAAGTTTGGCGCAGTCTGGCTGGTGTGGTTTCGCCGCTTGAGGGATGAGGGAGTTGACAAGGTCAAAGCCGAGCTGGGCCATCATGTCTTCTGGGAAACCGAGGGTCGCAACTGAAGCTTCAGACGGATGGACGGAGTGCGGTGGTCGTGGCGCAGGTTATGGCGAGTGGTGTAGTGTGTGCCTTCCGCTAAAGCGGATTCTACTAAGCTGGGATTGGCGAGGTGGAAAAAGGTGCTCAAAAAAACCGTGTAAAAAAAAACTAAGCCCTAAACCCTAAACCCGTGTAAAAAAAAACCTAAGCCCTAAACCCTAAACCCTAAACCCGTGTAAAAAAAAAAACCTAAGCCCTGAAACCTTAGGGCGTCCAGGGTTTTTCGGGTAGTCTCCCGCACTTCCTACAACGAGCGGACTGCGGGCCCTTGCTGGGGCCCTACACACCGCGAAAAAAGACTCAGGGGTCAGAGTCTACTGGAGAGGGCTTAGTTTGCAGAACCCCCCCCACGGAATCGGGACAAGCGCGCGTCGAAACACAAACTGACAAAAACCCCTTTCAGAATCCCCTTGTGGAGTCTACAAGAGAACCGAAGAAAGCCCTCCCGAAGCTCAGCCCCCAAACGAAGCGATCCCTTGTTGAGTTTACACGAGATCGACCCTTAACCCTAAACCCTGAACC